GCTGCCATGTGGCTATTTCACCAGGATATGAGTTTTATCAATGATGTCCTGCTTTACCAATGTTAAAATCTGGTCCCCTTAATAGACTCCACCACTTTGCTCAGGTTGATAGATTGTGACTGCCACAGGTCCACCCACCAGCAGCTGTCTGCTCTTGTTGAAGGTTTACATTCTCAGAAACCCGATGCAGGGCCACTATGAGTAGGAATTGACTGGACGGCAGTGGGTAAAGAGCAGTAGAGTTTGGTTGTAACATCTGAGAGATGAAGCTGATAGTGGCCCCTAGTGGGTGGCGGTCAGATCTGCAGCTACCCAGGCTCCTGTGGGCATGACAACTCCCATAGACACGGACCCCCTGGTCCCAGGTGTCAGTGATGCTGAGGCTGAGAAGCCCTGCTTGCTAAGGAGTACTGGGCTCACAGCTTTACATCTTCTGAGTTTCCTTGCTGTGTGGTGTGGACGCCACTGAACAGACCAAGCTGTAAGGTGTCATCAGCAGGGGACTCGTTATTGAGCTGATGTGGACCCACGGTGACCCTATAGGGCAGGGTAGAATGGCCCCTGTGGGTTTCTGAGACTGACACTTTACAGGAGTTAAGAGCCTCATCTTTCGTCTGAAGAGTGGCTGGTGGTTTTGAACTGCTGACCTTCGGGTTCCAGTCCAACTTGTAACCACTACGCCCCCAGGGTTCCTGCCCCCTAGTTAAAGTTTGTTCATAATAATTTTCCTGCTAATGGCTCCTCACAGCTTGGTCTATTCCGAGCAGGCAGTCTTGTTAGATCCTGTAGAGTGACTTCAGCTCACAGTGACCCGTGTGACAGGTCTGTCCAGTAAGGTTTTCTAGGCTGTAGTCCTCACAGAAGCAAGTCTCTAGGTCCTTTCTCCTGTGGGGATGCTGGGTGACCTTCTCGATGCGTAGGTCAGTGCTTAATTTTTGCGCCACCAGGGCTCCTATGACAAATACCAGTTTCATATACCCAGAACTAGATGCTCCACTTAGAGTATTCATTTACAAGCATAAACAAGCTGGGAGACATGTGTTCATATGTATGTTCTAAGGCGTGGGTTCTCAACCTGTGGGTTGTGACCCCTTTGGGGGCGAATGACCCTTTCACAGGGGTTGTCTAATTCATAACAGTAGCGAAATGACAGTGGTGAAGGAGCAATGAAACCAGTGTGATGATTGGGGGTCATCGCCACATGAGGAGCTGCATGAAAGGGTCGTGGCATCAGGAAGGTTGAGAACCACTGCTCTGAAGGCGACTCTGGAATAGGCGCAGCCTGGTCCCAGACCTTCTGGGGGAGGTGTCATCTGGATAGGGACACTAATAGCTTCTCTCAGTGCAGTTCTGCCCCTCTTCTCCAAGTTCTGGCACGTATTTGAGCCTTTTGCTGGCACATCAAGGTGGCCCAAACCAAGCCAAGTGTCTCCGGTGCCCTTTCTTGGAAGCCCGACTCCCTCTCTCGGGCCTGACTTCCTGTTTGTTGAGGATCTGCTGTCTCCAGAAAGAAGCCAGTGCTGGGGCTGCTTATGCACGTCTGAAATTCAGAAGCGTGAGCATAGCGATCTTCACCCTGCGTTTAGAGGCTGGCTTTCTTGGAGGGGCTCATTTGCTCTGCGAATGTGCTTTGGTCTCTAGAGAAACTAAGAGAATTTCATAGCCAGCCCCCCAAATCCTGGCAGGGATTCCAGCTTCTGGAAGGTTCCTGCCATCTTGTCCCGCTTGGGTGTGCACAGTGCCCTTTGGGGCGGTGGGTGGCGCAGAGCCGGGCAGTCGCCCCTCTTGCTCTGACTTTGGTGTCCTCAGAGTGAGGCGACTGGGTCACCAAACGCGCACCACCGGCCTTGACTCGCGTGGCTCTTCTCCCGTTGGTCCCCAGCTACCGCCCCCCAGCAGGAAGCGGACGCCGAGGTGAGCACGGAAACACTGAGCAAGCCATCCCAGGCTGCATCCTCCAGCACCCAGGCAGCCCCCCCGGAAGCAGCCACCGCCTCGAAAGAGAAGGAGGCCTCGGCGGAGAAGAGCAAGGACGGTGGCTCTGTGAGTATCCCCTCGCCATGGCCGGTGACCGGCTGGATCCCTGTGGGCCCTGCGGAGGCTCGGATCCCTGCTTCCCGAGAACCCCGTGGCATAGGACTCTGTATGGCCGAGGTGCGACAGTCAGATTGCAACTGGACTCTTGCCCTCGGGCCTCCTCCTCCTTCTCCTCACTCAGGACCTGGCCTTGGGGGGAAGGAGCAGAAACAGGAAGTTCAAGTTCCTACTCAGGCAATATGGCAACTGATGCCTCCCCCTTCCCTGGGAAGCCTCGAAGGTTAGGGCACTATTGTCTGCTAGAACTGTCTGTGGTGGCGGAAATGCCTTAGGTGTATTCTGTTCAGTACAGTAGCCACTGGCCAAGGAACTGAATTTAAAAAAAAAAAAAAGGTAAGTCGCCACGCCACGGTGGCTGCCTTGTTCAGCAGAAGCCGAACAAGGAAAAGCCGTACCTCCCGGTCGGACTCTGGCTCGGGTGGGATGTGTAGGCAAAACGTATTTCAGGAGGCATGGTGAGGATCTTGCCCCTTGTTAAGTTTCATAGAGGTATGTATTTGCATATGTATTAGAAATGGACCATTAGCTCATCGAGCCCATGAGCTTACTGCTGTTATAGCCCAGAAAGAGGCTGATGGGAACTAAAAACAAATTGGTATCATTTTAAAGTAGTATATGTCATTCATAGCAGCCCTGGTGGTGGTGTGTGGATTACATGCTGGGGCCAGTAACCACAAGGTCAGAGAATCGAAACCACCAGCTGCACCTTGGGGGGGAAAATGAGGCTTTCTGCTCCCATAAAGTATTACAATCTTGGAAACCCTCAAAGCAGTTCCACGCTGTTCTGTAGGGTCACAGTGCGTAGGAACCAACTCAAAGAGAATTTTTGATATGTCACTCCCAGGAGCTCAGTGGTTCAGCCGTTGGCAGCTAACATAAAGGTCGGTGGTTTGAACCTACCAGTTGCTTGCTCCATGGAGAAAAAATGTGAACGCCTGTCCCCATGCGAATGACTATTCTGGCCAACTGTTGAATTGCTGTCAGTCAGAATCAACTTGCTGACCCTGGGCGTGGCTTGGCTTACCTCATTCCTAGATGTGGTCAACACCCGGAGGGTTTAGTGGATGAGGTGTAGGAACCTGCACATTCCAGAAACTGAGACTTTAGGGTTGCCTAAGGGACTTGGCCTGCCAGGTTAACCTCACTAATAAGCTCTGGGGCAGCAGCAGGCACTCTGTGGGTCTTGAAACTTCTCGGGGATAGCATTGGCCTCAGTGCCTTAGGCCATCTCTCCTTTGTGTTTCTAGACTCTCGACCTTTCTGGCTCCAGGGAGACGGCTTCCTCCATTCTCTTAGGCTCCAACCAAGGATCTGGTATGTTGTCCCCTTGTAAGCAAATCATATGTTGGCACTGCATAGGAGCAAGCGGGAAGCCATATTGCCAGGGCCAACGGGGCATCATTTCCAAGTGACTGTGGAGCCCTGGTGGTACAGAGGTTTAGTGCTGGGCTGCTGAGAGGTTGGCAGTTCAAGCCCACTAGCTGCTTGGTGGGAGAAAGACCTGGAAACCTGCTCCTGTAAGATGACAGCCTCCGAGACCCTAGGGGGCGGTGCTGCTCTGCTCCATGGAGCTGCTTTGCATCGGGATCAACTTGATGGTTGTGGGTTTGGTGTGAGTCCTCAGGGATCCCTGGTGATGCGGTGGGTAGGTCCATGAGGGCTGAGGGAGTCGTTGGGCAAAGTTGGCTTTCAGGACTTCACACCCTTTCGTTCTTTCATTTGGTGGGGTTCCACATGGTACTTTGTTTCGACAAACGACTCTCTTGCTGGCTTGGGCTCGGGGTAGCAGATGTCCGTCTGGGTCAGGTAACCCTTCAGCCTTCTGGAAATGGCTGCAGTCAAGGAAAGAGTGGATGAGGGCACTCATTATGTAGCTGGGCACTCTGATGACACAACCTCTCTTCTCTGAGGACAAGGTGGTTTTTGTGTTTGTTAGCGGCTTGGGGCGCAGTGGGCTTTTCTAAGACGATTACTTCTGATTTTGCTCTCCTGCATGGTTTTAGCTAAGTATTCTCCTTTTGCCCCACTCTGCAACCATTCAAATGGCTCACAGGAGGTAAAAGTCTGTGTTCATTGAGGATTCATGCCTTGGGGCCTCGGCTCCAGAATGCCCTCTGCTGGATAACCCACAATTTAATTGGCTCTTTGAAGGGGGTTGCCATAGGGTGCCTGGGGAAGGCTCTGAAGAGAGTGTCACTCTGATCGGAGGGGAGAGTGTCAACTTGGCCTTCTTGCTACACGCAGTTCCTTCCCCCTCCCTGTGGTGCCCACTGACTCATTCTCCGCCTGTGAACTCACCTGATCTCTGTCCACTAGCTGTCGGCCTTCAGCAGCCAGGCACCGTAGTAGAATTCAACGCCCCTGCTCTGGGGTGGCGACATTGTTTGTGTGTGTTTTTCAAAGTTTGAAAATTAGTTTAAGATAAATGCTTGTGAATTTCTTACTGTAAAAGGATTACGGAACGTGAAAGCTGTTGGCCGAGGACATCTTGGTGTGCAGGTGGACATCCCTGGCCTCCTGGTGTCCCCTTTGCTGGGTGCTGTAGGAGTCAGTCACGTGCCCACCCTCCAGTTGCCTTCACTGAGTCGGACGCCAACCTCTCCTCCTGTGGCCCTGGTCCTCGCTGTGGGTTCTAGAGCTCGTTGCAGGGGCCACACGGAGCTCGCAGACAATGCTCATGGCCCCGGGGGCTTATTAGGGAAGTTAATAGGTTACCACACGTCTCAGGAGCAGCACACAGTAAGGATGCAGTCATTGTTCCCCTCAGTTGACAGTCTAGTCTCTCAGCCACGTGGTCCCTTTGCCTCTGTCTCTGTGGGCCCGGAAAGCCAGCCCGCCTGTTGCTCTGTCTTACAGGGGAGAAGCAGGTACCCCACAGTTTCAGGGCTCTGCCTCTGAGCCAGTCTCTGGTGCGTCTGGTCTTGGCGAGCTCCGCCACTTCCAGCAGAGATCCTTTATCTCCGGCTTGTCCACAGGTGTTTCACCCCCGTCTTTGCTCATCTGAGCTGAGTGTGTCACAGCAGCACGCTGCCCTCCTCCACCCTTTCCTCTTCTCCAAGCCATCGGATGTCACACCTTCTAGCTCGAACCGTCTTGGTTGGGAATGCAGATGCCACAGGTTAGAGAAAGTTAGGCAGCTAACTCAATCCAGTTCCCTGGAGAGCACCTGGGAGCAGGCTGGTGAAAGCGAGTGTTGTTGGCGAGGGTGGTAGTCTCTGGAGAAAAATGGACACAGGCCTGCCTCTCCCTATTTTGTTCAAGATTTTAATCAAAGCACATGTGTACATTGGAGAAAACAGTGGGAAAGAAAACCATCCCAATCTCTTTCTGTGGTCCCTTCTGCTAATTTCCTCCTCATTACATCATGTCCCTGCGCACGCCTGTTTCCTGGCTTGTTAATCTGTACTTACAATTTGTTGACTGCTGACCGGAAAGAATGACGACCTCTCTTCTCCCAAACGACTTATGTCACTGCTCTTGAGTACTCTACCGAGCCCCTGTCCTTGCTGGTCCAAACGGTTAGCACCTTAGCACACTTGGGTCTGCTTGCTCACCGAAAGGTTGGAGGTTCAAGACCACCCAAAGAGAAACAGCAGCAAAGGCCTGGCAGTTTACTTGCTAAGAAGCAGCTATGGAAAGCCCCGGGGCACACAGCTCTACACCAAGAACACATGGGGTCGCCAGGAGCTGGGATTGAACCTGCTGAATCCTGGCGTCCAGGCTCCTCCTCAGAAGTGCTCTCGGCACCCTCCTCATGGCCCTTTCTTCCACTCCCTTTCTTACTCAGCCCCTTCCACTCCTGAGGTGGGGGCATCCTTGAAGGGCCGCCCCTCCCCCCCTTTTTTCCCTTTGAGACCTTTTTGGGGCTTAACTCTGTATTGTTGGGTGGGACTCCAGTGTTTCCTTCTGGGGGCTCCATGATTTGTGTTCCCAGATGGGCGTTGCCACTGCTGTCCACACTCCTTTACCTGTCTGATCCTCACCCTTGGGTCAATAGTGGGATCTGGTCAAAAGTTCGTTTCCTGAGCTGCCAGTGAATTAAGTAAAGAAACCCCGTTCGTTTTGGGACATGGCCCAGCAGCCCCGATGGGTGCCTTTCTTCAGCATCTGTCTCTAACACAATGCATGGTTCAGAATGTTGGCCCCGAAGGCCTTTGGCAGGCTGGGGACCTTTGGCAGTCTCTCTCTCTCTGTGAGCTTGGCTTCTACTGGGTTTCCAACCAGCTGCCATTAGCCGCCTCCGAGGCCGTCGGGTGGTTGTGGTGGCAGGGGCATTGGGCCACCCACCACCACCACCACCACCACCACCACCCCCACCCCACCCCCCCGTCTTGGAGGGCCCGGATGGTGGCCTTCCCGAGGGCAGGTGTAGGTGGCACCGAGGTGGGCAGCAATGCTGAGTCTCTCCCTGTTGGCTCTTTCCCCGCAGATCATTCCCGGAGTAGCAAGTCCGGTTGCTGGAGCAGCGGGGAGGAGAAGCGAGGCTCTGCGCGCTCCGAGCACAACGCCGGCGGCGCCAGCACGAAGAGCCTCATCCCGAAAGAGTCTCGCCTGGACACCTTCTGGGACTAGGGACTGACTGTGCCGAGCCGCCGCCACCATTCAAAGCAAAAGCCACCCACAGACTCCAGCGCGAGGGCGAGAGAAGCGGCGCGAGATGTGGGGAGCGCCCGCGCCTGGCGCCGTCGCCCGCCTCCACACTACAGCGCCCAGCCTCGGCCTCGGCCGAGGCCCCGCACGAGGCTTTCCATGTAAATAATGTACCATTTGTGGATGCCACCGACCCTAGAGGGACCCGCCCCTTTTTATATTTGTATGGACTTTAACTTATAAAGGAGGAGGGAACACACAAAACGCAACAAAAACCAACAAAACGATTAAAAAAAAAAAAAAGTGAAACCCCAACCATGTTTTTGAATTGGAGAAAGGGATAGCCAGCCCATTCCCGCTCCGAGGGAAGTGACGTTTCCATTCGTCTTCTCGCGAGAGCACGTCAGACCTCGGCGTCGCTCTCCCTTGAAATCCCGCGTGATTATGACGCGGAGCGCGAGCTCTCGGGACCGGAAGGAGGCGCGGAGACGTGCGCGCTTCCTGGTGGGATGGGAAGGAAGGACGGCGCTGCCCTTAAGTCGGGGCGGTAGTGCGTTCACAGAGGAGCCGAGGGTCCGACGTCGCTGCCGCCGTCGCCGTCGCGGGAGCCGGAGCTCGCAGGCAAGGGCGCGCGGAGGGCGTTGGAGGCGAGGGCGAAGCATGCGTGTGTTTCTGTGATGGGATGTTGCGTTTTTATGTAAGCATGACAGCGAGGCCGGGTGAGCGCGCGCGGCCACCCCCACCCGCCGTGGTGTCCGCAGTGACACTCCGTTCCGCGGTAGGACATTCGTAAGTCGTGTCACACCAGGCCAGGCCAACAAGCGTCGAACAAATGTCCCGCTTCCAGCTAGTTGACCCTTATTAGAGAAGAAGCAAAACGGGAGAGCGTTATTAGAAGAACGTGCGCGCGCGAGAAAAGAACATTTGTGAATTGCAGTTGCCCAGGATTTAAAAGGAAAAAAAAAAATAGCCTAGCTGGCCTTATTTGTGAAGCATAATTGCTTTTAGCATATGGAAGTATTTTTTCACATTTTCTTTGTATAAAATTTGTATTAAACTTAAATATCTTTTTGGATGGCGGTGTTTCTTTGTGACTAAGGCAGTGCATTATCTCCCTGTGTGCCCCCGCCCCATCTCCCCTGCTCCCCAAGCTGCTAATTTGGGCCCCGCCCAGTTTTTTTAAGCACCTTCCTCCCCCCCCCCCTTTCTTTTCATTTTTTAAAAATTAAAATGTTTATGGAAAAATGGCTTGGTCTTCCTCAAATGTACAGTTTTCCATCGGGCCAGGCCAGCAGTGTGAGGTTGGCACCCCAAAACCCAGGAGAGGGATTGAGAGAGGTCTGGGAGGGTTTCTAAGGTTGGTAAATCTTGATTGAAGCAGGAGGCCGCCACACCTTACACCGCTGAGTGGTTGGCGGTTCAAATCACCGACCTTCAACCAGTGCTGAGTGTTTCTACTCAGCCACATCGGGCTCGGGAGTAGTCAGACTAGGAAGAATGGTTTGATCTTCTGAAAATCCAATAGGTCCCACCCGTCGCATATGGTGACACAGGACCAGGCAGTGTTTTGTTCCCTTATGCATCTGGGTGCCATGAATCAGGTGCCTTGAGGGGGCTTCAACTCTTAGGGGTCACATGGACCCTGGTCCTTGTGGACTTGGTGTTCTTCATGGGAGAGGTGGCCGTGGGCACTGCAAGGATTCTATAAAGGTAATTAAATGTCATGTTCCTGTGCTGGGAAACCAGGGCGTGCTCTGCCTTCTATGCAGATCCCCATGGGGCATTATTGATAACTCAAAACTGTCCCGCTGTAACCACTGTGCAACCCGGACCCCTTTCCATAAAGAATACAGCCGGGGAAAGCCAGTGGGGCAATTGACCCTGAAACAACTCAGTGTCAGCCTTGAACCTTCCTGTTCTTCCTGTTGCTCGGGCCTCCCTCAGCTGCATCGTTCACAGCGATATGGGTGGTCTCTGTAGATAGGATTCACCTGGCAATAGAGAAGAATGGAGCCCTGTTGGTGTAGTCGGTTACCATAGGGCTATTAACAGCAAGGTCAGCAGTTGGAAACCACCAGCGATTCCTTGGGAGAAAGATGAGGCTTTCTAGTTTCCTAAAGAATCACAGCCTCAGAAACTCACAGGGGCCATTCTGTCCCCTGTGGGTCCCCACGAGTCAGACACTCCATGGCAGCGAGGCAGGAGAGAAATGGTTGCTTTCCAGAAGTGGATTTTAGAGCTTGACTGGCTCCTACAGTCACATGGCTGGCGGGGGTAGGTTACCGTCCTGTTTGGGAGTCTTGGTGACAGAATGGTTGCAGTGTGATCCTATCCTGTAGCTCCACCGGAGAAAGGCCTGGTGATCTGTTGTAAAGCTCGCAGCCTAGGAACCCGGGGGTAGCTCCCCGCTGTCCCATGGGGGTCAGTGACACCAGCACTAGCCCACAGTGGGGTTGCAAGGTCATCTCACCAGCCCCCAACCGAAGGATCCTCACATGGATGATGGCAGGCAAGCCTGCAGGAGGGCCTCGTCCTGTCCCATGGGTGTATCTGTGTGTACCTGGAGTGGGCTTAACCGAGCCAGGGCCTTGGTGGCTCACTGGAGCGTTCCCGTGTGCTCAAACTGCAGAGGGCCCTTTATTGTGTCAGCTCTCTTGGTGAAGTCTTGGAAGTTTCCAGAACTGCCTCTGACACTCATCTGGATTGAGCATTTTCAGGGGCTCAGTGACTGACTTGAATGGAGAGCAAAAGGAGAAGGTCACAGCGGGGGGTGGAGGAGCTCTTGTGGACCTTGCAGAGGCTGCCAAGCTCCTGGTGTCCTTCCTCTTGATGGTCTGGACACCTGGAAGGGCCCTCTGCTGTGATCTGGCACGCCCTCCCCCTGGTGGCCCTGGGGTAGAACTGCAGCCTCTGGGGCCTGCTCTAAGCAGTCCATTGGTGGGACCGCTGTGGATGGAACAGCAGTGGGGTGCAGCAGTGAGTGAACCAGGTATGGTCCCTGCCCTGTCTGTCTGCATTCTCACTGAGAAGTCACCAAACATATAGGCAGTGTCAGCTACGGTGGACAGTGCCTAGTGTGTGAGTAAATCTGAGTGGGAACACTGGTGATCTTACGTGGATTAATAAAGGTGGCATAGTAGGCGATGCACGGAATGCTGACAGCAAGGTCAGCAGTTTGAGCCCACCAGCTGCTCCTTGGGAGAAGGGTGAGGCATTGTTTCAGCGAAGATTTACTGCCCTGGAACCCCCAGGGGCAGTTCTACTCTGTCCTGTGGGGTCACTAGGCGGCAGCATGGGCATTGATGGCACTGAGTTTGGGTAACTGAGTTAAGGGGTGTTAGAACCACCTGGGGTGTTGTGAGAAATAGCACGCTCACCCCCTAATCATGACCGTGACCTTCCTGGTTCTTTGTAAAGATCCTCAGGTGGTCCTTGGGGACCCGGTAGAAGGTAGAGCTGGGAACTTGGCACCTTTGGTGAAGCAAGGTGGCCAGGGACATAGGTGTAGCTAAAAGCACGAGGATGAGCAGGAGCGGCCTGGGATCCCTGGTGAGAACGTTGGGTTGCCCTCTGAAGGGGCTGGGAAGCCAGCTCTGAGCCTACAAGCTTCCTGGTTTTGTACACGCCACTTACATTATCACATTTTCTTACTTTAGTGACAAGTCACCCCGCCATTGCCACTGGTGTGCGTCCATTCCCATGCTGAGCGGTGCCGAGGGCTTTCCTCCCGTAATCTTTCAGTTTCCGTGGTAGTAACTGCAGTCCCATTTTCCAGATGAGGAAACTGGAGGCTCAGAAAGGAGGAGCCAGCTTGCCCAAGGTCACACACAGATCCGTGTCACGGCCAGGGTTCAAACCCAGACTCCCTGAATCCCCAGCCACCAGATTCCTTGCCCTTCATATCATCACGCCATCTGGCATTCCGGACTCCTGGCCGCTGCCCAGCAGGCTGTGCGTCAAGCTGGTCTTTCTGCAGTTTGGGGAGCGGAGACTCAGGAGTTAACTGAATTCAGAGCAGTCAAGTTATTCATCGCAAATCACAGCCTAGTCCAACCCATCTGAGCAGGGCAGCCATTTACGAAACAGCAGGGAGCGGTTCTCAGCTCTTTAGGAGGGTCAGAGTGTGGCCGAGGGGACTGCTCACGAAGGAAGAGTCTCCAGAGCAGATCACAGGACCCTCTGGTGAAGATGTCCCCGCCCCATCGCTGCCACCAGGCCCAGGCACTGCAGCTCCCATGGGGGACGCTGGGCTTGGTGTGGCCTCTGGCTCCACACGCCAGAACAGACTCCGTTGGTTTCCCATGTGGGTGGACCTGGACTGGCTGAGCTTGGCCCCGTTGGTGATATCGGATAGGTAGCCCTGGGGTGTAGTGGATTATGAGTTGGGCTGCAAACTTCAAGTTCAGGGATTCGAAACTACCATCTGAACCACAGGAGAAAGACGAGGCTTCCTACTCACATAAACTGATCATTTCTAAACAGTTACCATCTCAGAAACCCACAGGGGCAGGTCTCCCCTGTCCTATAGGATTGCTATGAGTTCAGAGTCAACTTGATGGCAGATTTTTTTATTCCAAAACCCATTTTATTGGGCGCTAATACATACTGTCCCATAGTTCAATCACATCAAGCAGTATTGTACAATTGCTACCACAATCAGTTTCAAAACTCTATTTCTTCATGAGCTCCTTAACAGCTCTCCTTCAGTGAGTTTTTTTGAGCTTGGCCAAACTCTGAGCTTCAGCCTTCTGGGGCTGACTCTGAGGTGAGAAATTGTGCAAACACAAGACCTTGGGTTGGCAAAAATTATGAGGGCTCCCACTGTTCAAGATTGCTGCAGTTCAAGTTTTAAAGAGTTCATCTAATTGAAGGTTAGTCATTGTGCTAGTTTGGAACTGTGTTTCCTGGAATCCCCTTCCTCACACAGGCTGAGTTTGAGTGGATCACAAGGATTCCTAGGGGAAGGGGAGCGGCAGCCCCTCTGAGCAGATCATTGAGGTGCCATGGTGACAGATGGCTGCAGGGGCATCCCCAGGTTCCTGCAGGCCCCACCTTGCCTCTGCTGCCCTCTCTTTTGTCATTCCAGCTCCTGGACACTAGAGCCTGGCCGGACCTCCCGCCAGGCTGGTGGCTGCAGCCCCCCTTTCCTGACTTGCATGCCCCAAACGTTCAAGTTCTATCCCAAGTCCCAAGCCTGGGATTGAGGCACCGACTTCCTTCCCCATGGGATGTTTGTGGGCAGAGGTGGGGGTGGGTTTGTCTTGTGAGTCCTCAGAGCCCTGGGATGGGGTGAGGGTCACAGGGGCGAAGACCCCACCTCAGACATCCAGGGTTCACTAAGTACTCATGGGCCAAATAGCACAGTCCTCGCCCCAGGTCTCACCATATAAGAATAAACCCCGACATCGCTTTGAGCTGTTAACACCTGCTACCCCAGGGCTGTTAGGCAAGGTTAGAGCAGTCGCCTTCAAAGCTGGCCCAACAGTGGGAGGAAGCAGTCCGCAGCCCTGTGGCAGCTGACCTGCTGAGCGGGGGGTGGTGGTGGTGGGGCGGGGGTGCCGCCGACAGTGGTGCACCACGCAGGGCAGCTGCAAAGATGGCATCTGTGAAACAGCACCCATAATAAGGACAAACCACCCTGCCTGGATTTTGCGTCCTCTGCTAACAGCACAGCCGGCAACTTATTAACTGAACTTGTTAGCCTGAGCTCATGGTCGATGGTGCTGTAGTCTTACCAGCGAGATCCCCGAGGCTCGGGCCCAGCTGGGAGGAGAGCCTCCAGAGCCCTTTCAAGGGTTGCTTGGCTATTATTCTCCAAGCCTGACTTTGGCTGTTCGCTTGGCTGAGCCAGCTCTATGGGGTTGCACTGCCTTCTGGCGGTCACTGCGGAGCACTGCTTCGCCCGCTCTGGGTTAGGGTCACCCGGAGCTCAAAGCGCCCAGGTGGAATGGTGGAGGGCTTTTTGTAACTCAGTCCTCACACAAAACAACATGCGGCCACACAGATGCCTCTTCCAAACATTCCAAGTAAAAGAAGGACGCCGGGGACAGAGAATATTCTCTTGGATTCTGGGTGAATGTGATGCCCCAGAACCGGCCACCTGCCTTTGGGGTTGGATGGCAGATCTGTGGACGAGGCTGGGAAGGGGCCCTGGACAGTCCGCAGATGGCCTTAGTGCCAGTATCCCGAAGTGTACCCTGGAGATTGGCACCGTCGAATGCCTGAGATGATAGGCCGTCTTTGAAAAACGCTCGACGTTTGTGAAGGTGTCCCACGAACACTTGTTTTGACTGGATGCTTTCCATTCACATTTTAAAATGTGAATCGGCCTAATGTCAACTGTGGACTTTGCTAAAAATGTTTGATTTGGCCAGATCCAGCAGGCAGAAGGCTGCTGTGACAAGTACTGACTGTCCCACCGGCTGTGGGCAGAAAGCACCAGTCTGACCTGGGAGAAGTACAGACAGATCCTCCTTAGAAGTGAGGGTGACGAGACTTTTGTCTCACGTACTCTGGCCGTGTTAGCAAGAGAGACCAGTCCCTGAAGAAGGATGCCATGCTAAGTCAGTAGACGGTCTGTGACAAGGAGATGGGTTGACAGAGGGGCTGCGGCATTGAGGTCAAACACAGCCACCATGGGGAGGGGGCGCAGGGCCAGGCAGTGCTTCGTTCTGTTGTGCACAGAGTTACCATGAGTGGAAGCCCCCCCCCTCTAGCACTGCTCAGCAATGGGCGGATCCATAGAACTCCAAAGTCTGTGAGGGAACATAGCCCAAGCCTCTCCTTTTCAGAGGTGCCCTGCTCTGGTGATGCCCTCTGAGCAAGGCTACCTCCTGCCTCTGCCTCTGCCTCGCTCTCTGCGAGGAGCTGTGTGAATCTGTCTCTGCAGTCTTTTTACTACTATGTTTTTCATGAAAGTATGAAGAACAAAACCAACGTCCATTCGATCATGCTGAGTGAGGGTGGCACCCTATCCACACTCCTGGCCCTTCCCCTGAGTCTCTCATCTTTCCTTCTACAGCCCCGCCCCTTTTTACTGGTTCCATTTTTGTATTGTGAAAACCTACAGTGGACCCTTGAACCCCACGGGTTGGAACTGCCCAGGCTCACTGATAGCCAGATTTTCCCCCTCTGTTGCTAAGGGAGCGAGCAAGTGTGAGTACCCTCTTAGAATGCCAACCCAACCAAATAGAACCCCCTGCCACCCAGTCCAGCTCATAGGGAGCCTAAACAAGGGTTCTGAGGCTGGCAGTCTTTGCGGGAGCACACAGCCTCATCTTCTGGTGAAGCAGCTGGTGGGTTTGAACCGCCGACCTCATGGTTATCAGCCCAAGGGAACGAGGGCATTGTGTCTGATGAGCAGTTTGTCTTACCACCTCACTGGGAAAGTGAGATGCCTCCCACAGTGTTTCAAGCAAATACAATTTGTCTACCAGAGCAGCAATGGGAAATGAACCCCAAATAGGCACATAGGTGAGCTCGCATAGTTCAACCCTGTGCCATTCAGGGGTCACCTGTAAATTCCCAGCAGATTTTCGACTGGGCGGGAGGTTGGCGGCCCTAGCCCAAGGGCCAATGCACTGAAAGACGCACCTCAAGCAGCACAAGGCCGCATGACACGTGGGTCGGACAAGCCCTGTGGCCCCTGGGCAGATTCGGTGGTTGCCCTTGGAAGCACGGTCTCAGAACCTGCCCCAGGTGGCCAGCTTAGGGGCCCCAGATCCACTTTAACCTCCCTGCCGGGCCCCCTCCTTTCCTCTGACCACAGGCAGGTCTTTGGGACTTAGCTTGTAGCTGAAGGTGGGGCCTGGGGCGGAGCTGGGTGCGGAGGCCTGATTCTGGACCGGCCAGCCCTGAGATGCTGGGAAGTTTGATGCGACCCCTAGGACGGAGGAAGGACGGAGGAGCGTGTCATCACTGTGTCATCAGGACTCCACTCCTGATAAACCCAATGGCCTACTTTTGTGCCCGGCTCCCTCCCCAGGAGATGAAAGGTGCCAGGGAAGTGGCAGGCCCTCAGAGAACCGCTGCCCCTGGCTGCTGCAAATGGCGCATGTGCTTGGCTGCTAACTGCAAGGAGGGTTGAGACCACCCAGAGGTGCCTCGGAGGAAAGGCCTGGCATTCCCCTTCTGAGCACCAGCCACTGAAAGCCCAGAGCATAGCTCAGCCCGACACACAAGGGGCCCCAAGGGCTGGAACTGACCGATGGTAACTGGTTCTGGTCTTTTAAGGTCAGCTTATGCAATTACCTTTTAATTATGTAAACCAATGCGGCCCAGTGTTCTTTTTTAAGTCAGTTTGAAGCTGAGGAAAGCCTAAGGCAGCTGTGGGTCTTGACTTCTCCACCCCTGGACATAGCAGATTCTTCCAGCCCCTGGGCAGGGCTGGCTGGAGATTGCCTGCAGATCCCCGCTGTCTGCACACTGGCCAGAAAGGCCTGCAGTCAGCCTCGGAATTCAGAGCGGCCAGGGGCTTTTTGTGAGCTAACAGTCCCATTGCTCTACTTCTAAGTGTGGTCTGGAGAGCTGCCATTCTATGCCAGGGACCACCGAAGCCAGCCCACCCGTCTGTCCATTTGTCTTTCCTGATTATCCCACCACCCACCCAACCACAATCTAGCCATCCATTCATCTAACAGCATGGTTACCCATTCTTCTATCTGTTCATCCTCCAATCTTCCACCCATTTCCCTGCCAGCAATCTATTCATCCAAATGTTCACGCACCACCCAGTGACCATCTGTGATTCGTTATCCAGCCAGCCATCCAGTCTACACAAAACCACGCTGTCAGGCTTTGGGCTCGACCCTGGGCATCCAGAGATGGAACCATCAGTTTCCCCATGGAGGGGCTTCTAGCCTGGGGGTGGGGTGTCCATCTCACCCTTGGGATTGGCTTTCTATTCATCAGAGATTTTAACGCTTTGAAACTCCATCCCTACCGACAGGAGACTAGCCACATAGAAACCTTGGGCTCTGCCAACCTGGGCAGAGGGAGAGGCCTATGTCTCTTTAGCATCCAGAACAGATGGCTCTAAGCCCTGCTGGGTCCATTATGGGCAGCAATAGCACACCATGCCTGCAGAATGTCTTCTGATGTCCCTCCCTGCCCCCCTGCCCTTGATTGTTGGTTTATTTCCCACCCACCAGAAAATGAAATCTCAGTCCCCATTTTCCCTTCTTTTAGGTGCAGTTTGTTGATTTTCCTTTGGGGGACCAGCCATTCCCAACTTCCTATTCATCCAACCCTAAGCCAGGTCCATGGGAAATCCAGGGAGGTGGATGGGACACACTCCGGAGACTTGTATCAGAGTGGCTATAAAATGCAGGACATCTTCAGTAAAGAAGCTGGTGTGGTGGCTGCAACGATGGCCTCCAACACAGTGGCATCATGCGGACGGTGCTGGGCTGGGCAGCCAGGAGTCCGAACCGACTGGATGACACCCAAGGACAGCCACGGCCTGTGACAGACTGGCCTTTCTGAAAGGTGCTTCGTGTCAAACTTCACAACATGGGAGAGCCTGCCTGAGACTTCAGGCAGAGGTCATTTGATCACCTGGATACAGCTGTTCCTGAAGCAGCCAGCTCTTTAGTTCCTGGAGACAATTTTCTTTTCTTTTTTGGCCTGTGCCACCTAGAGTTGGAATGTCCATTCTTCTGCAACTGAAAGAGTCCCGAGAAAGGCCGGCAACACATGGAAGTGTCCAGAGCAGAAAGGAAGAGCCACGCTGGACGTGCCTTCCAAATGTAAACGAGGTTTTATTTAACGCCTTGGGCACTGGTCCTCCCAGCGCACCTCTCTGCCCAGCAAACAAGATGGCAGTGTAAGGCACGTGCACTGTCCACATGACGCAGGGCCAGGTCTCTGAAACAGAAATCAGCAAGCGTCCCCCCAACAGCCCCGAATCACCTCCCTCACTAATGCTCAAAGAATGATTGTCCCCCCCAAAAGCACACCTGGAGGAAGAGAGTGCCGCAGTGAGAACCCCCACATGCCTGCCAGCTTAAAGCGCCAAACCCAGCCAAGGACTAGGGAAGCCCACTGCACAGGCCGGGCGCAGGACCGGGCACCGCGAGAAGTCCATAAATTAAGAAGAAAAAGAAAACAAACACGCCTGCCCCCCTCGCCGCCAGCCCACCCTCACTCAGCAAGGCCTTGCTTTTGTTCTGTCAGCTTGTTGGTGAGTCTGGACCCCGAGCGCCCCCTCTCCCCAAAAGTCAAGTATTCCGAAGCCAGTATTGGCTCCTGGCCTCCCGGGAGCCTCGCTGGGGCAGAAAGAGCAGCTTCTGGGTTGCTGGGCGGGCGTCTGTCCGGGTGCGGGTGCGGGGCCTGGCTGGCGCTGCTATAAGTACTCCAGCTCCAGGGCGTGCCTCAAGGCCTCCAGGTCTGCGCGGCAGGAGACCCTCCAGAAAGGCATGTTGTGCTGTAACACAAGACCAGCGTGAGGTGACCCCTGCCCCTGCCGCCCACAGCTCTGTGTCCACGCCCAGGCCTTCTGGGGTGTCCACCCACACAGGCTGCCAGCCCATGAGATGCCCACCATTCCGGCAGGCCAGGATCGGGCAGGACTTTCTAGTCCAGTCGGGCTTGTCCACCACCAGCTCCCCTCCTCCTTGCATATGTGACTGATTAGTTAGGGACCCAAGTTCACTGCCTCCAGTCAATTCTGACTCCAACCAACCCTGTCCACCACGTGTCTGTCTGTCTACATCAGTGGTTCTCAGCCTTCCTCATGCCAAGACCTCATGTGGTGGTCACCCCCCACCATAACATTATTTTTGTTGCTACTTCACAACCATCATTTTGCTACTGTTATGAATCGTCATGTAAATATCTGATATACAGGATGTATTTTCATGGTTACAAATTGAAGATCACTAAAGCTGAGTGATGACTCACAAAAATATGAAATTCTATATTGTGAAAGATTTGTTTCTAATGACAAATAACTGAAATCTTGTCTTGAAGCATGGTGCTTCAAGCATGGGCAGACCTGCCTGGAGACGGATAGAGGAGCGGTGTCTCGGTTCCTAAACCATCAGAAATCTGTTTTCCGATGGTCTTAGGCGACCCCTGTGAAAGGGTCATTCGACCCCCAGGTTGAGAACTGTTGGTCAGGGTGTACTAGGGTGGCCGGTGTGTTGCTGTGCCTGCGGTATGCAGGGGTACAGCCATGCTTGCTGCCACTGAGGTCGTGGAGCACGTGCTGAGCGAGGAGTGCTGAGGTCCTCCGGCATGGATGACCTCTCCATGAGAAGACCCACATCCTCACAGCCAGACGTCACGCTACACGGAGGAAAGATTCGCGTAGTCAGAGATTCCTGTCTTGCTTGGAGCTGCATCGGGTCAGTCGGCTGCCCAGACCTCTTAGGAGTTTGGAAAAGCAGGGACCTTACTTTGAGGACTAAGGTGCGCCTGGCCCAAGCCAGGGTGGTTTCCACTGCCTCATGTGCACATGAGGGTTGGACACGGAGCCCCGAGGAAGGATCGATGCATTGAGTTGTGGCACTGGCAAAGAATACTGAAAGTACCCTGGACTGCCAAAAGACACACCC